TTTTCGAATTAATTATGTGATTTTTCGGCTTATTTTTGCCGAAGTTTTGTGCTTTTGATTGAAAAATCTGCTCAAACGTTTGGAAAAGCAACCAGATGATTTTTCGGCTCAAAAACATGCTTAAACTCTAAAAAGAAGCAAAAATAATTTTAGTTTCGTGATAGTTTATTCATTTTTTACCTCATTTTTGACGAAAATTTTCAAAACAATTGCGATGACTAAAAAACGTCCTAAAACGGATAAATGGTATTATTTTTGAACAAAATTTTTAGCACAATCTAAAAAAGCAAAAACAACACCACTTTTGAGTTAAAGCGATTTGTGACGAAATATATAATTTTGTAAATTTTTAATTGAAAAACGTGCTAAAACGCTCAAAAAATCATAAAAAGGTCATTTTCAACCCAATTTGGTAATTTTTCAATATGTTTTAACAGAATCTTACAAAAAAACGTGATGTAAACAAGCAAAATTCATTATTTTTCACTTAATTTGGTGACTTTTCGGTATATTTTTGTCTAAATATTTCGAAATAATTTCGTCTCTTATTGAAAAATATGGTATTGYTATGGAAAACCGTCTTCGAAAAGTCGATGAACTAGCTTCAAAATTACACCCAGTAAACAAGAAAAAAAATCTTTTAAATGAGAATGTCAATTTTCGGGGTAGCATAAAGTGGATTTTTTTATATTGTGTCGTTAGAATTTTATTTATAAATGTTTTGTTAAACTTGAAATATTTTTATAAAGCAATAGTTATCACAAAGTTTATATTAGAAAATAAAGCTTGTTTTTTGGTACATAACACTTTTATCAATTTTTTAATAATATAAACTAATGCATTATATTGAATGAAGGGGTCATGTACATTTGATCGCTAAAAAAATCTATAAAAAACATGATTACCTAAGTTTTCTCATAACAAGTCCTTTTTACCAAAAACAAATTGGAAAAAAAGTACCAACAAATTAAGTTTAAATGCTTATAACTCCAAATATGCACATGACACTTTTATCCACTCACCCCTTCAATTAGGTTTTTTTGTAGACTAATTCCAGGTGGAATCAAAATAACGTGGGATCCTTGGATCAGCCCTTGCAATCAATCCACCTTTCCGTTCGCGGTATAATCTAATTAACGGCGCAACTAATAATTTTCTCGGTACAACGTGACTATAATTGGATTCGTTAATCAGAAAGTGCCCGCGGATAATCGCGGTATTTTCCACAATATAAGATACTCCTAATTAAAGCGAGCCTGATCGCAGAGGGCGAACAGAGCAGACAAAAAGGATGGAAAGACTACTATTACATTATATTAGAGTTACGTTACAATTATTATTATCTTAATGATCATCAAGTGGAAAAAGTTGTTAATGTAAAAAATGTTTTACAGAATTAATTTAATTTATTTTATGGGGCGCGTCTTTTATAATATAAATAAAATCATGTTGAAGATAACGATTCGCTATAGAATTACGTGATTTAAAGGATGCTTTTAAGTTTTTTTTATGAAAGTAATTGGCTAAACTTTTATCATTACGGTAAATGCGATTTTTGTATCAATTAGGCTCGAACAACTCGCAAAAACGCTACACCAGTCTTCTAACCAGCTATTATCGGATTTTRTTAAGAGAAACCTCTACTTTCAAGTGGGTTAAAAAGAATGTTTTCTAAATTAATGAGAAACAAAGCGGTCGCATATTTAAATATACTTTTAAACAGTTAAAGTTTTTTCACTTACGACTGCAAGTTTGTATTTTTTTTTAACTTAATCACAACTAATAATTTTCTTTTGGTCATTGATACAATTGGCAATTTTGGGGTTGACGACTGTCTTTTACATAAATTTCTAGCTTTTTTTATGTAGTGGCATTCATTTATCGAATTTTTTGTAACACATAAAAAGGGAAAAAACAAGGTGTGCAACTTTAGAATGTTTTTTTTTTGTTTTTTTTTTTTTTTTGATATTGTCAACAGTCTCTCTTATTTAGGGCTTTTTTTATATCCCGGAAGATGTTGGTCTATGTTGGACAAATATATGCATTTTCCCGGCGCATCCACCATTTTTGCAGTTTTAACAAAAAATTATATTTGATATAGATTTAGGTAAAATAGTATAGTAAATAAAGAGTATTTTGTTTTTCCTCTAAGTCGGCGTTATCATCACTTTGCGTTGATAATTTACCTTAATTTTAATCGATCTTAGTAACATTTTTTAAATTATTTATCATAATGTCGTCAGTAACTTCTTKTTTTCTTATTGTAGACTATCGAAATTTAATGTTACCGTATTCTTAATGGTCCCGCAGGTTATTTGGAAACTCAGGAGCGTGTTCGGCGTGTGGCCAAATGATCCCTGCTAGTGAATTCGTCATGAGATCTGGAGGACCATCACCCCAACAACCTGGAGCCCCCCTGCATGTTTTCCACCTGAAATGTTTTGTGTGTAGCAAATGTGGCGCCCCCCTCGTGCAAGGCGACCGCTACTACATGCTTTCAGGAAGTCTCGTTTGTGAACAGGATTGGCACAAATTACTTAAAAGTTCAGCAGCCACACCTACGGTGCGTAAAGGAAAAGTCGGAAGGCCTCGTCGGAGCCGTGACTGAATAGAACCTTACCTTCATGGGGTCCCAGGTAATTATTTTTGTTGTATTTAATTTATTAAAAAAGTGAAAAAAAGTAAAGATGCAACAGGCAAATTTCAATTGACCAAGACCGCCCACGGAATTATGGGGTTTATGGGAAAGTTTTGAACAGCTAGGAACCAATAATGATATAATTATGGTTTTCGTTAATAATGAGGTGTCTGCTTATTGGATGTGTGCGTGATGAGGCGTTCCGTTTTTATTTTACTTAATTTTCGCCTGAGCAAATTTTAAATTAATTCTGTATATAAAATACATCAGTTTTAAATTAATTCTGTATATAAAATACATCAGTTTTAAATTAATTCTGTATATAAAATACATCAGTTTTAAATTAATTCTGTATAAACGTAAATAGCCCCATTTCCGTCGATTAACAATGTTCTGCTTCGGGCGGGCAATTCTGCAAGTTTTCCCGAGTAGAAATGAGTCTGAAAGCTCTTTAAAGCGCTTGCTTCCATTTGATATTTAAATGCGTTTAAAGTATTGTTTTATGTTATAAATTTAATGCTGCGGAGTAATTATCGATGGTTTCAGGAAGATTACGTTTTAAAACATCCATTAATGGGCTTTATGAAATGTTCTAATTAAAGCAATGAATGCTGCAAGGACCCAGAATTTYGGTTTTGTTTTCTGTCACGACTGGAAATAATCGGTCATTCGATTGCGTAAATGAATATTGAATTAATTGAGCACCTTTGGGGGGTTGGGGGGTGGTTTTAATACAATCACGGCGCCGTATTATTTCGGCTTGGAGTAATATTCAGCAAACACGAAAATGTCGCATTAGGATGAATTACTATACCGATACGTTAACTGACTGTGTAATGACCTTCAGATAAACCGAGCGAAAAGTGTAATAAATTTAGTCCAGCTTACACAATTTGTTAATATTACATTTGACGCACACGAACTGGAACAGCACGCGAACTCGAGAATTTCACCCGCCACTGTCCATAAGTGAGGCGAGGACTTTTTACATTTCCTTATTTCAAGGTTTGTTTTTATTATCTTCGAGAGATTGGAATTTCATTGATTATCCAATCAACGAAGTCAGTGTAATAAATTTTTGTTTTGTTTTATCCAWCTAATAACTGTAAAAGTTATTCACATTTGTGTTTTATTTCAAGTTTTTGTGCTTACAACTGTTTTATTTGCTAACATTTTTAATTAGAAATTTTCTTGTCTATTGTGTCAATCGATCATTAAGTGGATGATTAAGATATTAAGATTAAAAAAACAATCAATTCAATAACACCTAAATGCTCAAATTTTGCTTAAATGTTTTTTTTTTTTTTTTTGTACAAGATATTTTACTTTTAATTCAGGTTCTCCTATTTTTACGAAAGAAATTAAATTGTTTAAAAAGTGAGTTTTGTGTATTTGTGTGTATTTTAGAAATAAATTTCTTGGTGATACTCAAAAAACAAGAATGAACGTAGTTTTATTGAGTTGTTGCATATGAAATTATTGCTATTTTCTTAGAATACAATTGCATGAAAAAACTGTAACAAAGCATTCATCAAAATTACGAAAATGAGAAAATTATTTACAAATAAAGTCTGGCTAAATGAAAGGTATACTAACATTGGTAAAAAAATCTAGTTTTTCCCATTTGTGTATGTAGTGTGTCTCTTTCCGTCGATGTACTCTTTTTCTTCCTTTCCAAATTATAATGTAGTAATTTTTTTCTCTTGGTACTTCGGAAAAAAAATTCATTCATGGTAGTTTTAATAAAGGAAGTTGACAGTTCCGGTTTTTTGAATTAATTTGAAAACAACGTCATTAAACCTTAACACAAAAAATCGTCTAAGAAAATTTAGAGACAAAACACCAAAATGGAACAAATTCAGTACCGCTAACAGTTTTTATAAATTTGGAAACGAATAGTTCYCAAGCAGGAAGTTAGAAAAAGGGCTCGTCAAAATGTAYACGCAATTTGTAATGCAGGTTTGCTAAATATTCTCAGTTGTTAGCAAAAAATTGAAGAAAATACACGGAATACGGAAAGAAAGCAATTAAATTAGTGTCTTGTGCATCGTTTTTGAGGAACGAGTTGAAAAAGTAACAGTTTTGAAACTAAAGCTGAAGAAGAATTTATAAAATGCATCAACTTTGAGCTCATTTCAATAAATTACACAAAATTTACTGCTAATCATCATAATATCTACTTGTATCTTTTGCTAAATAACTTTTTTTTGTATAAACATCTTTTTTCTTCAAAGTTTTTGTAGCAAGAACCTCATTTTTGTTCAAAACATCGTACTTACTTGCGGTGTGTTTCTTAGCACTAAATTCTGCCTTTAGACCTTAGGTAATGATGTCTATCTTCAGGTATTCAATTATAGCGCTTTCAAAGAGCAAACAGGCAGACAAGATTCATAAAAGTAAAAATTTTGACAACATCTCAATTTGAAAACATAATCATATTTTTTTAATAAAATTTCTAGGGACAAAAACAAAGAGTAAACAAAATTTGTGGCTATYGAGCCAAGCTGCTACCAATTGTTTAAGTGGAGATATGTGCTGCTTGATATTTTCTCAGGGTTTCAAATTATGAAACATTGAATTTTAAGATTACCGAAATTACTGTTTTAAAAAAGTTTTAACTGAATCGTAACACAAGATGGTCACTTGTGTTTGAAAATAAATTTTCGTGGGAATTAAACTGAGTTAATAGATCGGATACTCGATTTAAATCATGAGCTTGAGCTTTTTGTACGCCTCGTCTGCTTTAATTCTTCGGACTATCGGCCGTAAAAAACGCCATTTCAGTCATTAAAAATGTCGAAGCGAAATCAATAGGAAATTTTCAGGCGCTTTAATTACCTCGGCGGCTGAATGGGATATCAATGCAGTTAGTTCTACAACACGGCATTGTTAAAATACCGGCTACTGACATAATGAGCTACTGTTTGTATATTTTATAGTCCTTTTGCCATTTTTAGTCTTGTTCTGTTTTAAAACAACGAGCTGTCTAATTAAGGCGGACAGAGTTCCTCTACATAATACGGCGTAATTCTTAACTATCTATAGAAAGATTTAATTATTAATTAAATCAGGGACTGCGAGAGTTAATTAAACCAACTTGGTCAATTATTGACAAGGTACCGACGAAATAAAAAAAAAACTCTTGGCACAGGGCACGAAAAGTTTTCCAGCTTCGAACAAACACTTAAGGGCAATTAAAATAACTTAGTTAATTAGCGGTCGCTAAACTTACTCAAATTTATCCAAAGTATAAACTTACACGAAATCCAACAAAAAATRACAACTTATAATTAATTTGTTCTCTTGACAAAGAATCGAACTAAAAATTTAATTACCACACTTTCACCCCATTTTGCCAGRGCTAATAATGCAATTCAATTACGACACAATTAATTCAGAAATAATTAGACAAACACAAAAATCCATTGCTAAACTGTGAGGATTTAATTATTATTGATTCTATCACTTGAAAAATTTGATTCGAACATTAATTACATTCGGATGATTATTATTATCAATCATTTCGGGATTGTGTTAAAATAAGTACCAACATGCAGTTCATATATGTAGACACGATTTGGCCACCGGACTGGCCTTAGGGTGGTATCATGGAATGACACTCTGAAACAACTTTGATGTTCTACTCTAAGTGGTAATTATAGTTTCAAGATTTGTTTCCAGTAAACAACCGTAACAATTCATAACAACATTCGATAATTTACTACTTGTAAAAGAGATTTGCAATGTTATTGCTGCATATTTCGATGGTTTTACGGCCGAGGAGTTTAATTTGTAATCAAAACTGTTTGATTAAACTATTTTTTTTGATCATTTTAAATATATTCTAATTATTGTTTTTCTTGTTAAGTATATCTTGTTTTTTGGGTGGCTACATATTGTAGCCACTTATTAAAATACGGTTTTTTCCAAAATTAACGGAAAAAAAAACTTATCAAAGAAAAATACATACAGTAAGTCCCCGGATTGAGTTTACAAGAGGAAAAAAAATTTCTTTGATTTTACGCCAAAACTGAAAAAGAAATACATTTTTAGCTTTAGCTGAAACAAGCAAATCTGTAATTAAAACTTCATGTGAAGCAAAAAATGTTTTTCCTTTGCAGTTTTGGCGTAAAATGAAAGATAAAAAATTTGTCCTCTTGTAAACTCAATCCGGGGACAAAAATAAATATTTCCAATTGATTAAAAAAGAATGTAAACGATAGAGGATTCAATACACTTTAACTTGATGTTTTGATATTGTACAAAATTTTTAGCGTATACTTGTGAGACCTTAAAAATTAAATTTGGAAAAAAATTCAATTACCTGAAATATTTTCTACATGATGAAATTCTTTGATTTTTTTCTGTGGAAATGTGAAAATAGAATAATGATAAAGTTGACAGGTATTTAATAATTAACATTTTAATATTGAAAATGTGAAACTTGAAATAATTTATTTATTTTATTTAGAAATTTCATCATGTAGAAAATATTCTTATTAATATTTTTTTTCCAAATTTGGTTTTTAGGGTCTCACTGACATACGATAAAAATTTTGAACAATATTAAAGCATTAAATTGAAGTCTATTTAATCTATCGTTTGCAGTAGCAATTTTTTTTAAACAATGAGAAATATTTATTTTTGCGCCGGCCTTAAAACTTGGGACACCCTGTACAATTTCATTTCATGATATGCCGCTCCCATTATTTCGTTAGAAAACGCGTTGGTACTCAATTTGTGTTTCGTCTGGGCGATGAAATAATGTTGCGATAAGCAAAAGTTTATTTAGAATCTTACTTGTATTTACAAAAGATCGAAACACCTGTTTTAATGCGTCCATTACAAATTTATTGCTTAAATTTGATGCTGTTAGTATGTTAAAATCCACCTTATAGCAAGTTTCACTCACATTTAGATAAGAATAAAGCATTAATGGTCTTGCATATGATAAAATATCCATTAAATTTTTGACGRTTAATGTGAATTTGTTTCTAT